AGGTATCAGTACAGAGCCTAGACTTCTCACCAACCTGTCTTCCTAACACAAAGGAACTAAACTTGAGATCCTTGGAAATTCTTCTGGGTATGAGTCTTTGTCTTTCCATTTCTTTTTTCTTTTGCCTCTTGTTTTTACTGGATTGAATCCATGCCTTTCTTCACTGAAGAAGGAGCTGTATCAGGCATAGGCGTTCAGGAAAAAGGTTTTTTTTCCACCTCCATAATTTAGGTAGCAACACAGACATCTGGCAGCAAGGAGTTATAGAAAACTCCTTTATTCCACCCCCCCGCCTTTAAAGGGAGCCATTACTTCAGGTAGAAGATATCAGCTAACATATTTCTGCAGGCATTGGGCTCTTTCAAGACCTCCATTGGTGATCAAACCAAATATTTAAAAGGACATTCCCGTAAACAAAAGCATGGTCTGCATTCACAAACCATTTTCAGTAAGATCTTTTTCCAGTCAAGATTCTGACCATCTGCTTGCCATCTTATATTTTTTAATATTATTCTGTCAAATACATGCTCTGTCAATGCAGGTAAAGGAATACTTGAAAAATCTGAACATACACAAATCAGTGGGTCCAGATGACATGAATCCTGAAGTCTGGAGGGAATTAGCTAATGCAGCTTTGCAAATAAGTACCCAAAACAGAGCAGCCTCACAATATTTTATCAAACCACCCTCCTTTCAGGAAGTACACAGGTAGTAAAATAAATACAATCAACATTGTCTTAGATTCGCCTGGCATAAACTGTTACCTTGGACAAGTTACTATTTACAAGGCCGCACATATGAGCTTACTCTACTACTTACTATAAAAGTAATGGGTAACATACCACCAAGAAAGAACAAAAAACAAAAAAGTTGCATGATGGTAGTTTACTAAAGGCTGTAGAGAAAATCTGTAATTTATTATTTACCAAGGGTGGCTTTTCAAGATCTAGAAAAGGATAAACCACATATAAGATGAAGCTGAGGGGTTCAAGGGAGAAATCTCAGAACTGTAAGCCAGAATGACCTCGGTTTTGACCTTAGTTACATCATGTGGCTATGCCACCACAGCCTTAGGCCTCATGAGGGCAAATGCTAGAAATCTGACTATCTCTTCTTTGCCTGTTGTGGTGAATTTAAAAATGCCTTCAAATTCTTTGGCACACCTCTCACTGAGAGGTAGGGTCTATGTCCCCTCTCCTAGCATCTGGGCTGCTTTATAACTATTCCAACCAACAGAGTAGAGTAGAAGTAATGCTATAACAGTCCCAGGCCCAGCCTCTAAGAGGGCTTCCACTGTGCTCTTTTGGGAAAAAACTACCATGTAACAAGTTGAACTACTGTAAGACCGCTGTGGTGTACGGAAGCCCAAACTTCTGACCCACAGAACCATGAGCTTGACAAAGCAGTTGTTGTTTCACGTCAGCACATGAGGGTGGTTTGTAGCAAGCAGTAGAACTGGCAGGTCTCCTTTTTCTTCAGGAAACCTTACCCCTCTTTCATTCTGTGTTTCTCTCTTTTCCTTTTCTTGTTTTTCTTTTTCTCCCTCTATTCCTTGCTACTTTCCCATTCTGCCATGCTAAGATACCTAAGCATATTTTTATGTTTGCTTTGTTTATAAATTAAGCAGGATTTCAGTACTATTTTTGTCCCCTTGTTCATTATTTTAGAAGGTGAGCTGTGCTTAAAAGTTTCTTTCAAAAAACAAAATTAGTAAATCATTATTTTAATGTAGACATTAAATAATTTTTGTTAGTGGCCTAGAACCTTTAAAAAAAGAATATTTAAATATGAAAAACTGGAAAGTACATGAGTGTCTAACGAAGTGATTAAACACTGTGCAGCTAATAAAGGTATGTTCTCCTGACTATATAGGAACTTTTACAACTGTCTCTGCCCTATCTCTGAATACACTCACCTTGTTTACTCTGACCCAGTTACAAAGGCCCTGGTGCTGTTTCTCAACCACACTACACATGTTCCCATGTCAGGGCCTTTGCATGTGCTGTTCCCTCTGCCTGGAAAATTTCAAGAAATGCACACAGCTTGCCCTTTTGCTTATTTCAGGCCTCTGCTTATCAATGTAACATTCCTTGAACATTTTATATATAGCATTGGACTCCTCTCCTTCCTGACATTCTTTATTTCCCTTACCCTGCTTTATTTTTCTTTTTAATGCTTATCAGTGTCCAATATATTGCAGATTTACTTATTTCTTCACTGTCCTCTCCCCCTGGAATAGCAGCTCCATGAAGTCTGAGACTTTGTGTGTTTTGTTCAGTGTCTACTCTCAGCATCTTTAAAATTGTTTAGCATATATTTATAGAATGACTCAAGAAAGCATGGTGTGCAGCTGAGATGCAATTAATTTCATCTGCTGCCAAGCTACTGACAATAAACACATCATTAAGAGAAAAGAACAGGTTATGAAATGGTATGGAGAGTTTATACATATGCTTTGAAAATGTGTAATAGTCTCAACTGGATGCATAACTAGAAAAGAGTCTCATTTTGCAAGCCATATGTAAAAATTAAAGAAAGCCTTGGTGCTCTGTCCTGGGTGACAGAACAGCACAGGGGTTCCTGAGAGAATGGCCTGGGCTTGGATGATAGGTGATGCAAGGAAGGAAAAGGAGGCAGAACATGGGCTGAGCCAGAACTAGAGGAAGCACTACTTTTCCTATCCAGTAGCTTTTTTTTCTCTTTCTTACAAACAAAATCCAGATTTCACTTGAACGTCCTTGCAGTTAGGAGACCATGTGAAAAGTGCTGGCTAATGAGAACTAAAGTGGAGATATCTGAAAAAAGCGTTTATTTTTCTGATATAGGTACTACCCTTTCCTGCTTTCCTCTTCTCTCTGCCTTAGAAAGATATGAGGCCTAGAGCTACAGCAATCAGTTATATTGCAACCATGAGGCACCAGGTATGAGTCAAAGACTTTCATGATAAATACAGAGAAATGGAGAGATAGAAAGAGCCAGGACCATCTTCATGCTGCTTTCTCCGTACTTCTCATTGTTGCAGCCAAACATGATCCTAACAGATACTTTGGGAGTTTAAAAACTGTTTATTTTCTTCTTTCATCTTACCATTTTTTTACAATGACCATATGCTACTTATATAATTAGAAAAAGTAATATGTGTGTGTATGTGTGTATATGTACTTGAGGACAGTTGTGAAAAAAAAAAATTTATTCTAAACCTGAGGCAAGAATTTTTTTTTCTTCCCCGGTCCACTTGTCCAAAGAAAGAGAGCCATATCGTGAGTTTCTGGACTAGCCATTCTCTGTTCTGTGGCCTCGTTTTATACACTGAGACAACTTCATATATGTGGTCAGTAGTTGATGCTGTGATCTCAGATTTCTTTGTAATGACTTCGTCTGGTGAACTGGCCCCTGACTGAGTGACACGGATTCTGGTTCTCTAGCTTAAAAACCTAAGACAGAAACAAACAAAAAAAAATTGTCTTCTTCCACTTGGCCTTATGCTAGCAGAATAAAATGAATTTAAAAAGAAAAGAACATATTCCCTTAGGCTAGGATCAGAAATGGGCTAATCAAGCCCCTCCCACCTCATCTTCTTTGTTTGTTTGCCTAGGCTCAGTCTCATTGCTGCTTATCCACTGTAGAGGAGGTTTTTCATGCAGACTTAGTCTCTCCAAAAGGGAAGAGTTTCCAGCTACACAGTCTACATACCACTCTGCTCCTCCTCCTGAAACATCTCTTGCAAGCATCACAGCTCAGCTGTGTGGGTCCAGATTCTTCCTACCTGAGGAATCTAAGCTGTTACAGTCCCCAGACCCTGATTTCTCCTTCAATTTACCTTGTTGAAAGTTGAGGAAGTCCAATAAATAATTTGCCTGTTTTCTTTTACATAAACTCTAGACCAAGCAAGAAATGACAAAAGAATAAGGCAACTAGGAATACAAAACACGTGTATTTTTACTGAAAAGGTGATGTTGTTGAATGTTTCCTCTATCAGCAATTTGGTTTCCACAACGACACATTTACCAACCCAGTCTCAGTTGACATTTGGCAACCATAGCTCCTTCCCCAAAAGAGGAATTACTCTTATAAAACTGTAACATGAAAAAGCAAAACAACATGCTATCTTATGGATTGGTGGTTCCCAAAAAATAAAATGAAAAGGAAGGCCAATGCATGCCTAGCTTCTCTTTCCAAACTCATGAGTCAGACAAAGGTACTCTTTTTCTTGTTCAAAGTTTCTGCTTAGCTCATTCCTGCCCTCCCACATTCTACCTAGGCCAAAGATGTCTGCTCCACTTACCCTGACGCATCAATAAACAACGTCCCCCACAACATGTTCAACTCCTCCCTGCAGGAAGCTCACTCCAGAGTGGTATTTTGTTATGATGGCAGATGCTCCAGTTCTCCTGCCCACTAGTCCATGGACAAAAGTTTAATCTCTTCCAGCTGTACCCATTCATCTATATACACTTTACATCAGTTGGGTCTCAGTCTTAAGATCTTACTCTAGATAAGTACTCTCTGGATTAGGAACATATGAAAAGACATATGGAGTCTCTCTGGCCAGCTCTGACTTCAAGAATTATGAAGGAGAAAACAGTTCTCTTTTTAATAACTTTGGAAATACAAAGTTTACTATCAGGTTCAGGGAAACACCATAGGTCCCAATCTGATTCTGCCATTTTCTCACTCTAAGACCTCTACACTTGGTTTAACCAAAGATTTGGTTTCCTTATTTATAGAAATGGAGTGTAATTCACATTATCCCTACCTGGCAGAACACTTTTTGTAAATTTTCCCAGAACAAGGCCCAACACCTAGGAGGTAATCAAGACATATTGCTTCTCATTTTCTACCTCTAATCCAATGAAAGGAAAGTCTCTCCCAGAGTTTTATGGTAGTCATTTTAAGTCTTTAGGTTCATCTAGCTTTTGAATAAGCCTGTTCTTTCTGTTAGTAGAAATTGTGCATCTTAAAGGGAAAAAAAGCTACTTTTTCTCCTTATTTCTTTCCAGATACTCTACTGAAGTCGAGCATAATCCACACAAAACAACAAAGAACAACAACAACAAAAAAAACAACCCACTGTGCAAAGTCAACACAGCAGTGTGGAATACAGTGAAACCCATTATGGACTGTGATGGGCCTTCCAAGGCCCATGTAACCTGGTGGGAACTGGTGGAGAGGACCATGAATCAATTTACTCTATTCTCAAGAATAAGAAGTAGCCTAAGCCACAGATCCTCTTTGGAAAGTTTTTTTCTAGGTTGGCAATGCTTTCTTACACTCACTATAAATAATTATGATCACTTGTCTGTGAATGAACAACTAGTAGGTACCTCCATGACTTACTCTTTGAATGCCCAGCTGCTAGCCTAAGGCCACAAGCAGCAGACATTATGCACTTTTACTGAATGAATAATCAGTCTAGGACCAAATATCTGATTCAAAGGGCACTAGGTGAAAAGCATCATGACAAACAGTGCTGTTACTGTGGTTATTTTCTGTAAGTCTATCTTATTTAAGAATAACTTCCCCTGTATGCCATAGGGAGAACTCTCTTTGAACAATGGTTCTGTGTGTCATATATTTTGTTATTGCTAGACTTCCAAGATATTTAATCACTTCTATTTGCAATGAATGTGCTAATCAGAAGAATGTCTCAAGTAAATTTGTGTATTTCCCCATTGGGTCACATTGTAATTTCAGAGATATTTTAATTTTATTCTAATCAAGGGACTTTAGTTTCAATGTGTTTGTCATTCTCTCAAGAAGATACATTCAGAATGTGTTTGTAATGTAAATTCTCACCCCCTAATTTATATGTTGTCAAGTTTGGGTTTTAGTATACTGTATTTGACTTTCTTAAAGCAGGGCACACCTGAATAAGCTTTGGGGATAAAAGGAATACAAAAAAAATTGTGAGCAAAACATCTGATATAGTTTTACTTGCAAAGTTCAAATTTTCTGAATGGGATCAAGATGGCATGGCTTGAAATGTGGCTGAAGGGAATAAGAGAAATATGGGAAATGTCTACATATCTGAAAGCAGTAGTGATGAAGGTCTTATACCATATTTCCTTGTGTATTTCTCCTTAGATATTTCCACACATGCACAAACACATTGAAGAAAGCACATGGAGAATTGCCCTGTCTCTTCCCTAGAATCATTACTGTCCCATACATTCTTCTGTTATGCGATAATGGCTACTCCTGCCAGCATTTACTTTTTAAAGTAGATTTTGCTTTGACTTTACCAAACAAGAAAAAGGATTGAATTTTAAAAGCAATGAAATTCTGCTTTCTACTGGGGGGGGGGACTGTCCTCAAAGCTCACTCTTCTGGCCCTTCAAAGGCCTTTCATTCCAACTATCAGTTTTGCTTTGTCCTTGCACCCACATAACAAACCTTTTTATCCAGCACCTGCTAGGGACGCAGGTACTGTAAGTCTATATGTGGGGTGGGGGGGTGGGTAGCTGGGTTGGAAAGGGTACTGTCCTTGTCCTCACTGACCTTATAGTCCAAAGAATGTTTGGATTAAATTAATCGGCCATGGAGTCAGTGTCCAGGTCAGATAGCCACCTCAATTATAGGGTTTTCATACTGCATCCTATATTTTGTCCATATCTGTCTTTCTAGAATTTTCTTCCTTGTAGCCACATAGAATAAGGTTTGCCTCTCTTGTGCAAGAAGTTTCAAGTTTTCAGAAATAGCGCCTTTTCCTTCTGAGTGATCTCTCCTCCAGGCTAACTGCACCTAGCTCCTTGACTCTTATATGACTATGAATTCCTCAAGGCTTTGTATTAGTTTTGCTGCCAGAGACTGAAGACCAAACCAGTAATGGTTTAAATAAAATATGAGTATATTTTTCTGTCTAAAACTTTAGGTGGGTGATTTATGACTAGCATGGCCCTCCACAATACTGCATACCCAGGCTCCATCTAGCTCATTGCTCTTCTGTACATGGCTTCCATTTACAGGCCTGCATGGGAACATCCTGTTCTAGGCAGCAGGATAGGGGAGAGGGCAGAAGACCCAAGTGTGCATGCATGCCATCCTTTCAGAAAGGTGTCCAGAAACTGCCCCTTCTGCGTGTATCTCATTGATCCAAACTTGGTTACATGCCTGCACCTCTGAGTAAGAGAGATTGGGAAATGCAGTGTTTCCCAGGGGGCCATATGCCCTTGGAGATAAACCTTGGAGGTGCTATTGCTTTAGAAGAAGTAATGAATACTGGAGGCAACTGGTTGTATTTAACATAGCATCCCATTTCCTCTTTTGTCACTCATGAAATGTTGTGGCCAAAGCTGAGCAGAACTATCACTGCCTTTTTTTTAAAAAAACAGGTAACATACTCTAAAAATATGAATTTTAGTTTGTCACAGAGATATGCAAGAAACTACTTTTACATTTCTAAATCAAATTAAATCTAACTCTGAGTCTCACCATACCAATGAAAAATTCGTTATCATTTATTATTGCCTCCATGAGGTCTTGTAGGGTGGAACTGAGATTGAGAAGGTATTATGTGCATTCTGAAAATTGCGGAATGTGCCCCTTACCCTCAGACAATCATAGTCCCCCATGAGTGTTGCATTATCCAAGTCCATTATGGTCCATGAAAACACAGGAGTGTTTCTTCCTTACATTCCATGCTTGGCATTAGACATTTTTTCTTTTTTGCCAAAACTAGAGTAAAAGCTTTGATGCCTGGTGCCCAGCTTTCCAGTGCATTTCTTTCTAAGACTCTGTTAGCTCCCAAGGGTGCTGCAAAGCCCCCTCCTTTCTCTTCTCAGAAAGAGAAACTTACAGAACTTTGCAGAACTTACTCCTCCTCCCCAAGGCCAGCCATTTCTATCTTTACTTTCCAAGCTGTCCTTTGATTTCCTCAACTCTGGATCACTCAGCAACAGATCCCCTCAAGGACCTTAAGGGAAATGGTTTTTGCCTCTTTGAGGGGTCCATGGTGAAAAGGAATTCTGGCACAAGTCTGTTCTTGTTGCTGTTGTTGTGTTTTTGTTGTTTTGTTTTGTGAACTCTTACCTGGGTACCAAATATTTATTAATGCTTTAAATCATTCAGGCCATTTTTATAGTTGTACTGTATTCCTGACCAGTGTCAGGAATTGAGTTTCTCTGCTAGTAATAGATACCCTACTAGTGGGGTAACTAGTTAAGGGTTTATTTTCCCACATAAAGGAAGTACTGAAGTAGTTCAGTTTAGAGCTGGTGTCGTGGCTCCCTAGTTTTCCTTCTTTGTCACCCTTAGTCTTGTCCATCTTCAATGACAAAATGTGGCTGCTGGGGATCCAGTCATTACATCTATGATCCAGGCAGAAGGGGAAGGGAAAGAAGTGAAAGAGACACCTCTCCCACATGAATCAATACCTTTCAAATCGGCTATCTTGAAAATTTTATTAATTTTTATTATATTTTAATTGTTGTTCAAGTACAGTTTTGTCTTTTACTCCCATCCCAGCCTACCCTGCAACCCTCCCCATCTCCTTCCCATTTCCACTCCCCCCAGTTTTTGTCCATATGTCCTTTATACTTGTTCCAGTAAACCTTTCCCCTTTTCCCCTGAAGCTATCTTGAAAATTATTTGCAAAGAATTTCATTTATATCTCATTGGCTAAACCTTTCTCTAGAGTAGACTGGAAAATATAGCCTGAGCTAGACACATTGCTGCTCCAAATAAAATCCAGATTTTACCATTAAGGAAGAAGGGAAAATGGAAATAGGTAAGTAACGCACAGTCTCTACCTACTGTATATTATTGTTAACTTGTGTATCTGTCCTCTGTGTTGTGCTTACAGTTAGATATTCGTACACAAGCAAAGGACTGTAAACTTTATCTCATGATAAAGTGCACATTTCAGCTAATGAAAAAAAAAGTTTTAGATCCAACATATTATTCTTCAGAGCCAAATCATATAAATGAAATTTATAAGTGAACCAGCTGCTGAAAAGCTCTTTCTGATTTTATACCAGTTGGTGAAATGATGAAGAGATGATAATAATCTATCTCCAAATATTTTTCTCTGAAGCCTTTAGCTTCAAAGATTTCCATCTCTTATTCTATAACTTTGAGATCTTTTTGAACAATCTTTGCTTTTTCTTTTTATAGAGGCTTTTTATTGCTAGAGAGTAGTTTTTATTTCAAAGAAACATTTCTAGTTCATCTTCTCCTTCTTTCATTTAATGGCATAAGACTATGCCATTAAAGTGTTACCTGCATCCATTTCAATACAATGTCTGTATCTATTCTCCTGCTTTCAGAGTATCTTTAAACTAAAGTAAGAGCTATTTTTGCAGCATAAGCTTTGCCTTGTCAATTATGTCTTTGCTCTTTTTAAGAGGACTTTGGAGTAATCTTTCTTAAGTAAGTGTATCTTTTCTTCAATTAGAAATTTCAATTTGTCATATGATCCTCTGGGTAGGAAGATTTGTTCAGCAATTTTTTAAAATTGAGAGTTAAGTAATTTTGTCACTGATCTCATTTCATATTTCAAGGTTTTTAAAGATTTGGAAATAATGACATTCCAATAACAAAAACAAAAAAGTATTATTTTGAACATTGAAAATAGCACCAAACACTGGGAGAAACTGATTGCAATCACTAATTCCAGCTCCTCTCTTGAGTCCTTATTCACAAAATATTCTTTCAGGTCCTTTGCTCTCACAATAGGAATTAATGGCCCTTGCAACATTTTAAAATCTGTGCACTCTCTGTTGAGGGTAAAGGGGCCCAGCCTTCTCCCTGAGGGGAGGGGAAATTCTTTGCATTCCTTCCTGATGAATCAGACACACACTCTCACACACACACACACACACACACACATGTCCTGTCTCGGTTTCTCAGTGGCTCTTTGGTGGGATAACCTGTTATGCAGGCTGAAGTCCCTGCTCTGCTACTTACTCATTGTGTGCATTTGGGCATACAGGAAACATTTTCTGGGCCTCAGTTTCCAAGCCTGTTAAATGGGATTAGTGATACCTACTATGCAGTGTCTTTAGGAGCAATGAGGGATTATAAAAAGCATCTAATACAGGAGAGCCTCAAGAAGGATGGGACAAGTATGATGCGCTACTCATTTTTTTTAACTTTCCATGTTCCACTGTCAATGTGCAAAGTTGAACATCCTGCTGCTTTGTAACTATTATAACACAGGAAATATCGAACTAACCTGGTGTACCTGCATGCAGTGGCAAAAGTAGGAGAAAGCATTTATTGTTTCACATGTCAAACACTGTCCAGGTGTTAGCACTTTTGTTGCTCACAACAATTCTATGAGCAGTATTGCCCTACTTGTGAGGAACAGGAGGCTCAGAGAAGCAAAGTCACAAAGCTGGTAAGAGTGGAGTTGAGAGCTGATGTTCTCTTTGCATGTCGGAGGCTCGTGCCCTGTGGTCGGCAGAATTGTGAGATGGCTTCCAAAAGTCTCTCTCCTCTCCAATCCACATTCTGTATAATCCCCTCCTCCTGAGTGTGGGTGGGGCTTGTGAATATGACAGGATAGTCATTCTGGTGATTGCATTGTCCTGTTGAAGACTCTGTCTTGGCAGGAGTCAGGGAGATTCTCCTGCAAACTTTGAAGAATAAGCTGTCACGTTGTGAGGCTGGACCTTGAAGGCAGCTTCTAGGAGCTGAGAGTGACCCCTGGTCAACAGCTGTGAAGAAACAGAGACCTCAGTCCTACAACCTCAAGTTACGAAATCCTGCCAACACTCTACGTGAGCTAGGAAGAGGATGCTGAGCTCCAGTGAGAACCCAGCATGGCCCATAATCTTGACTCCAGTCTCAGGAGACACTAAGTGGAAAATCCAAATTTGCCATGTGGGAACTCTGACCTACAGAAACTGAGGTAACAAATTGGTGGTGTTTTAAGCTGTTCACTTTGTAGGAATTTGTTAAAAAGCAATAGAAAACTAGTGCAGGTCTGGCAGAGTGACTCAGTTGGTCGGAGCATTGTTCCCTACACCAAAGAGTCAAGGTTTAGATTCCGGTCAGAACATATGCTTAGGTTACAGAGTTGATCCCCAGTCTGGCGTATGGGAGGCAGCAAGTGGTTGATGTCTCTCACATCAATGTTTCTCTCTCTCTCTCCCCCCCACTTCCCCTCTCTCTAAAATCAATAAACATATCCTCAGGTGAGGATTCAAAAAAGAAAAAGAAAACTAATACATACTCTGTCAACTAG